GTTCATGTCAGGAAGGAAATGTATAGACGTCCATACAGTTTCTACTTTAGATATACGGAGGCGTGTGGTGCAGTGGGTTGTGCGTTGGTGTTCGGATCAGGGGGTCACAGGTTCAAACCCCACTGCAGTCAGCATGTCGTTGTGTCCCTGAAGACACTTCACAAATTGCTCCTGTGTGGATTGCCCACAGTATTGAGTATGTAAGTCGCTTTGGATAGAAGCGTCTAACAAGTGAAACGTAATGTACCATCTTATAGTTCTGAATTAAATCCTTTAATAGTCAATCGTTACGTGTTACCTGGAAGGATCCGAGGGCGAGGTCGAAGAAGATCTTGATGTGATTCATGTCTTTGTCAATGGGCTCCACCAGGTAGACAAACACCACGTAGTTCACTCCAAACAGAGGGATCAGCAGGAGGGTGGACTTAGCCAAACGTCTACAGAACACAAACACACACATAGTTACACACTCAATACATAACATGGATGTGTGGGCTAAATGTGCTAATGGCAACACATTTGTTTGCAGTGTTTTGTTTAGTGAAAGGGCAGAATTGTGTTCCTTCTCTCCATCAGAAATTGTAGGATATTGTGTTTATTTTCATTATAAAACATGTTTTGCCAGATAGTTACCTAAAAGCCCTCTTTAAATAAATATACCTGTATTGTGATTGCTCATTTCCTCCGACATCAGTGCAGCGCAGTTTCTGCACCAGGATGCGGATGATGCTGATGAACAGGATGAAGTTGATCTTGTAGAGAAACACGAAAGAAAGGGAGACAAATCTAAACCTTCTAGTAAATAACGTTTTTTATCCAACTCCAGAAAGACCAGGATACTAAATAAGTGATTTAATGGACTAAAAGGATAATGAGTAGCAATAAACAAAAATAAATTAAGACACAAAAACTAAAGTTATAACCTTAAGATGTTGGTGAACTCACAATGACAGACGCCATGATGGGCCAGTTTATCAGCCGGTTGGGGATAGGGTTCTCATTCATCTCCCAACAGCTGAAAACAAGAACAAATATCAGTATTGTTACCCGCCTCAAACGATCAAATCTTTGTATGTACTTTTTAAACCTTAAACATCTGAGAGAGTTCAGCCTAAATGTGAAGTCTGCATTCATTCCTTAAGCAACAACACTATGTATCTTGTTTTTGTACGACCTGTATTTCATTATCCAAATTCTTTGTAATTTTATCTAATAAGGTTTTTCTAAATGTTTTCTTTAATCTTGTGTGCAGCGCTGATAGAGGCCACCAGAGGCTGACAGGCGTCACAGACTCACCTCGTGTCCTCCAGGTTTATCCTGCATATGATCCACGCTACCATGAAAACAAAAGGGATTCCTGAGGGAGGAGAGAAAGTCTGTTTAGACTCTCAGTCTGCACAACCTCACGAGGTGCCAGGCAGGAAACGTCTTCACACGCACGCACGCACGCACGCACGCACGCACGCACGCACGCACACACCCGCACACGCACACGCACACGCACACACACACACACACACACAGCAGAACAGA